AAGTGACATAATGGTATCATAATGGTATTACAAACTATTTGGTTATCATAAACGACCATCATCAACAGGCATTCAAAGCGTTCAGTTTTAGATTCTTCGTCCAAGAGGCGATCTGTTTCAATCCATCAGTTTTAAGTTCGAATTTTACAATATCTCCATTCACAGAGCATAAAGGGATAATAAAGAGTAAGTTTCAGCTTATCTTACGGTCTGTGGTTTTCCCGAACACAAATAAAAGCTTATTAGGGATGCCAGTCAACCATGGCTGTTTGATGATTGATTTTCTATATGGAAAACTTATTTATACAACTTACATGAGGTGGTATCTCCTGTGGTGTCTTTTCCTCAAYTGTGAGAACATCATCCCCTTTGAAGAGAAAACTTGTTCAAWATCTAAAGTTGGTTCACAAACTAAGTCTAGTCTGATCACTTGATTTCCCAATTTAAARACCAAAGTGAAAGCTACGTAATTAAAAAATAGAACAACAACAACAGAGATGGCATAGTTACCAAGATTGGATAGAATGCTTCGTAATCTTTCTCTTCTTTCAAGGGCTCCTTCTCCAAACAATGCTGAAATCAAAAGATAAAACTACATGTAGGTAATCAATTCCATCAATGTGGCTAAATGCAATTTAGGCAAAGTTAAACACAAGGCCTGCTTTTTTGCTATGGGGGCAGCCCATAGTTTACAAGACATGGCTTTTTTATCAGGGGTAATTTTTACATATTGTAGACTCGAAACTACACAAAGYAGGATGTTTTAAAGCAAATAATAATTTTCTGACTGGTTAAATTGTACAAAACTCTTCTTGGATGGTCACAGSTTTGTGTGTAACACTGTGATTGGGACCATACAATGCAAAAACTGAAGAATTGTAAAGAACTTACTAATTGGCTGTCCTAGTTCTCGTAGTCTTGCCTTGACTGAAGGTATGTCRGTAGGTACTGTTATTAAACGAGCCTGTCAATCAACATTATAATAATCAATCAATYAGCAATATAAGCATACAGGAAACAGTAGCCTGCGTTCAGCTGTTTCGGCAAGATTGATATCAACAGTGTCCATAAGAGGACATAYAATTACGAGTGCAATTTGTTAAATATCACACTGACAATCACTACAGCAGGAGTTCATTAGAATACCTTTTTCCTCTTTTCAAATTCGGCTAAGAGTTCCTTGTGTCTTTCTGACGTGTCTTCCACAATGTCATGAAATTCTCCTGATAAAAAGAGTATTCTTTATACGTAACTTAAGAGGTTCTCTTTTTAATCTACGTGTGTTATCCTATGTGTGTTGCGGTAAATTTAAGCTTATAATTTAAGCTTATTGACACGAGCACGTGTATAATTTGCAATGATGCATCAACATTGAAAAACATGCATCTTACAAACTCTCAAAACGAAAGACACTTACCTTCAGATATATTGATATTTCCAGCTTGTATTCCAGCCAGAATAGACTCAGATATGCCATTTTCTCGTTTTTTACCGCCATCTTCTGACAGCTCTTCACTTGGCGCGCTTKCTTTGGAAAGCCGCTCTCTTTCTAATTCCTCCAAACTTCCAAAATATATTCGCTGTTTCTTTTCCCTAGGKGCMCCTTCTTCATCGTCCGACATGATTCAACAGCTGGGAAGCTAGAGTAAGTGCATACAATTATATTTAAAACAGCTACAGYACAATCAAATATTTTCTCTCAGAGAGTAGCCATCTTGGATTTTGTAGAACGCATGCTCGACGTTGTTGTCATGAGCCACAGGAAGCCCAAAAACCTACCAATTTCTTGACAAGCAAAGATTTGTCTTGTTTTWGCAGGATATCTGAACGACAATACATATTAAAAGCGAAATAAAAGAAACTAYCCCTTTTCTTACTGTTAAAGAATCGACAACATCATTTGATTCAAAATATTAAAAAATGTCGTAGTTGGACTTCCTGTGTACAATTGCGTATTTACCAAATACATGTACAAAATGGAGGTCAGCTGAAATCTTTCCTTTGGACAAAAAATGTCGCTTTTTCGATTTGGAAAGGCAATATTGCGCTCAGTTGTTCGTAGCGCTGATGTCTTTAAGAAAGGTAAGAAGTGCGTAGAAACACTGTTTTGACCTAGTATTAGCTCGATTTCAGATGAAGAAAGAAAACATGCTGAYATTTCACTTTGAAATTGAAAATATCAGGTCAGGCGAAAGCAAGCAAAGTACCGTGGCATAACGGATCAAAGAAAGTAGTAGTTCACCATGGGCAAACGAGATCAGATAGTTTACTTTATTCCTCGTCACCGAGAACAGGCTATCTTTTGTCTTCGTTAACAAGACCTGTGCGACATGGTTTTGCAAGCACAAGRTCGAAATTGGGCATCGAATATGGCTCATTTTTGAAAGGTGAGCTTTTATTACAACCTAGTAAGCTATAAAACCAAATCTGTAATATTTTGGGTATATGTACTTATTTTTCCTAAGCTTATGCGGCAAAAATACATAATATTATCCCACATTGCTTTGTTTTTGTGCCATTATACAGTAGCTTAGCAAACTGGTAAGTTTACATTTGTAAATGTACGTATAATATTGATCTCTGATGTTAACAACAGTTCGCTTGCTTTGTGCTAGGTCATAGAGTATTTCGTCTTCTAAGAAAAGGCCAAATACAAGGACCTCTGTTTGCCTTTCTTGGGTTTGTCTGCACAGGTGAGCTGRTGATTACAATGTAGAGCAGATTTTGTATGACTGTGTTTGTAAGGCACAGATCACAATTACACACCATCACAGACTCGTGGCTGGTATTGATGCCAGTGAAAATAGTGCTTTGGTATTACATCACTGTCGTGACACTGTTATGGTCTCGGATGGAAAGGACCATGTTTTATGCAAAAAGTCAATTGGGTAATCCACTATCTCTATCTTTAATGCTTCCTCCATCATCTTGAAAAGTAGCCTTGCTTTAATTTACATGATGAATACCTGGGAATGATCAAAAAAATTCATTTAAGTCTCTCTGGTCATCTTGCTTCAATTGAAATGAAGGCATAAAAATGGCACAGATTCCTTGATGTGAAGGATGCAATTGACTGGAGAAGTACATGCCCGTACTCTAATCTTATACAATTGTCAATCTCTTTAGATATTGGGGCCAAAACAAGTTCAACTCCAGAAGAAGAAAATGACTTCCTTAAACTGTACCAGTGGATGCAGAAAGGCATCCAGAGTACACAACAGGTAACTATGACAACAGCAATACCTTAACAACWGGTAACTATGGTAATGCTAACATCTCAACAATAAGTACCTATAATGGCTAATGGATAACAATAAAAATAGTAAAACCTTAACAACAGTAACCATAGCAACAATGATTACATAACAACAGGTAACCATGGTAACAGTTATACCTTAAAGTRTACAAGTGGGATTATTGCAAATTAAAATAGACATATTCATGGTTCTAGCAATCTTTATAATCTTAAAATCTCTCAACCTAAAGGAAATGATACAAAGTGAAGACCAAAGTGATGATCAAAGATCCTTAAAGCTGTCTGATTACACTATTGGACAGAGACTTGGTGAACAGTCATCTAATTCAGCAGTATATGAAGTCGCAAGGACAAATAATGATGACAAGGTATGATATCAATGATGGCAATGATGAGTTGATAAAGAGTACATGTACGTGTATGATGGTCCCCCTTCATAACCTGTGTCATCTTGAATGGTATATAACCATGCCTTTACACAAAGTTAGAAAACGTACAGCAGAGTAACTTAAATTATTCACAGATGTCTGCAGTGACTTTTGAGATAGTAAACAGAGCTAGTATGTTAAATATATGTGTTTTTATGTACAGAGGTTTGCAGTGAAAATGCTTTTCAACTTTTTCACAAACTCAAACAGTGTTGACATTGAAAAGGTAAAATCTAAAATATAATTAAAAATTGATCCACTGTTTTCTTTCTCAGTCTATATTCCCTCAGTTTTTCCAYCATCTATTATATCCATTCCACATTTTATTCTTTCATCCATTTGTCCTTTATCCATCCAATCATTAGAGATACATTTAATACATTATTCATAATTCTCATAACATTACATGATTTCATCTTCTATTAGGCATTTTCAAAAGAAAAGCAAGTACTTTCTAAAAGTGGAATTCAAGATGAAGGTATATATTAATAGATATTTAATAGCTTTTGCTGTGATTTCCATGATCTTAAATACTAAGACTAATAATTTAAATGATTATATAATTATATATATTATAACAACTTTTAAATTCTTGAATAAAATTAATGAGAAATTCCTGTCAAAAACCTTGACATCAATACTGCACTTTTGCTGTGTTTACTAGGAGAAGTCAATTATCTTTTATTATATTTATTTAAATATTAATTTAACAATTACCTTTGCTAGAATCCAGCTATGTGAGCATTCCAACACATCCCAACATCCTACCTGTCCTGCACTCTTTTGTGGAYGAAGTGCCATGTTTGCCAGATGCCAGAGATAGTTACCCTGCTGCACTTCCACCTAAATACACATTWCAAGGGATTGGAAGGAATATGACTATGTTTCTAGTAATGCCAAGGTACTAAAACATGTAGGATGGGAATCATCCATTGATTGAATTAAGTAAGAGCGGATTTCGTATAACTGTGCAAAAAAACACAGTACTTTCGCGTACCGTGCCGTAGCGGTGATGTATTGTTAAATCTTTATTTTTATAATTTGGAATCCTTGAAGGCGAGCTTCCATGACCATGCCGTGCCGTGTTGTGATCCGTGTCATTGCACAGTCATACGAAATCCGCTCTATTATAACAATCATGGCAATGCAGCTACAGTTGCTTGTCGATGAACATTATGAAAACCAATGGCATGAACATTATAAATATCTCCTGGACTTGAAGATGCAAATGACTTGCTGTCAACTTATGAATAAGCCCAAGTTTCTTCAATATATTGTCTGCATTTGAGTAAAAAGAAATAAAATCATTWAACATGGTTWACCATTTGATTTCAGGCTTGAYTGCACCTTACATCAATACCTCAAGTSTTGTTCTCCAAGCAAAAAGACATCTGAACTTCTACTTCTGCAACTGCTAGAGGGTGTATCTCATCTTGTGGACAACGGAGTGGCTCACAGAGACATGAAACCTGACAATCTACTGGTTGACATGTCATACCCTGGTTGTCCTAGGCTAGTTATATGTGATTTTGGTTGTTGTTTGGCTGAAAGAAAGCATGGCTTGAAGATGCCATTTGTAACAGAAGAGACAGATCGTGGAGGGAATATCATGCTAATGCCACCTGAAGTAAGTACAACGTCTAAATCTTCTCATTTAAGTTTGCTGTCCAAGATGCTAACTTGTACGCGATAGATATGAAGTCTTTACTATATTGACTTGTTGCAATGATTGGTTGGCATCAAATTGAGTGTGTGAAGTTTGAGTCTTGATTGGCAGAAAGCAAATAATGTTTTGAACAATAGAGCCTCACATAATATTATGTCGACAAGCACAGTCTGTAAGAAATAATTGAGTTGAAATAGAAACCATTTTTGCATAGACTGCATTCTTTCAAATTAATGCACAGTACGTACTTTGCTTTCATTTAGGTCATCACTGCGCAATGTGGACATGGTGCTATTATTGACTACAGCAAGGCTGATGGTATTTTAATTATTTTATTTATTTATTTCTTCTAGTAAGTTATTTCTTTATAATTATTTCTCTTCATCATCTGGCCTAATGCTTATTCAACTAATAATTCTTCATGTGAAAGTATTGTCAATGTTTTATGACTTCATTGATTTAGAATTCCTTGACTTATCAATATGTATTAATTTAGTATTATTCACTTTATAGCCTGGTCATGTGGTGCTATAGCTTATGAACTATTTGGCCAACCTAACCCTTTTGGACTTGATAGACTTGACAGCTCAAGCTACCAAGACGAGGAGTTACCAGACCTTGCTATATGGTATGCTTAACATTGTGTCAGCATTCATTTGAATTTTASTTACCAATTAAACATTTTATATAACTTTTTTAAAGGTGGAGTTGAAACCAGGCCCTTGTTTTATATGTCGATGTATAATTTTCCTTATGTAAAGGAATTTGAGCTTTGACYATTTTAATCACAAACTTAAGCCTCACTGTTCAATACAGGGACCATTCTTCCCTACTCTTTTCCTTATTTTGTTCATTGGTGTACATGTATTTGTTTATTTTAGTGCTCCTGCAGTTCGTTGGGTTGTCAAAAAATTACTTTGTAGGAACATGGCAGACCGTCTGACAGCACGTCAAGCATCCATTATCCTCAAAGTGAAGCTGTTTGCTCCTTCTGAATGGTTGAGTGTCAACAAACTTGTCACACAAGGTGATGTCCTCAGGTAAGAAACGAAAGAAATCTTACAGTCTGCCKAATCATGGGACATTCTGAGAATATGAGAAATCCAAGTTTTTTTAAGGGTGGCATTCACTACCCTTTCGWGTAGGGGAAGGGAGGGGGATAAGCGCCCTGGAGAATGGTGGCATATTATATTTTTGTGATTTTAAAGTACTTTGTTGCAATTCAGATGGTTGGTCTTGAACTCTTCRAAATCTCTCAAGCAACGAGTGAGAAGAAGAATTGACAACATTGAAACAATGGTAAAACACACACTCCATTAAATATTGTTTAATTTTTAAACATGCTTAAATATACTGACAATAATATCAGAGCATAACAGAGAAGTGCCAGACAACGCAATATATGGAGCGGTAGCATAGTGGTTTGAGCCACAAGAAGCCCTTGCTTGACTTACAGTACGAGATATTAGGCATAATAAGGRCAAAGGAAACATGGGAACATTTTCAAAAGCTCAAAATATTTTGATTCCACTTTAAAAATATATTATGATAAAGTGCACAATTTTGTTACCCATGGATACTAGTGTGTGGAATTCTCGACTACAACTGACCGTTTTTAGACTGATTCTGTAAGTCGTAGTATTCGCTCCTCGATTTTCGGTTTGTCGCAAAAAAGAGCGACMTGACAGACTGGTGGAATCAGTCTAACCGTTTTTCAACAAAAATGCTTTTTTAAGCTTTGAGGTATACTAGTAGTTATTTAAAGTTATAATCGCTCAAAGATTGTTTCTCTTTGTTGTAGTTGAAATTGTCATTCTTGGCTAGAACAACTGTCAGCGAAGTTTCAATGGCTCTAGCACTACTTCGACATCTTCAGAACTGAACCARCCCCATGTACCATGTCAAAAGAGTGACAGTAATATAGTAAATCAGATTTATACTCASATGTAACTAGTTCAATTACATAATCAATATTAAAAAATAAAAGTTCAAATTGTGTCTCAATGTTTATGTCAGAATCAATCGTTTAGCACCTTTAACATGCAGAACCTTTGCAAGTTCAGTTTTTTGTTGTGTTTTTTCATACAAAAGATCTTCAAGAAAGCAACTTAGTAAACCATAATGTTTCTCTGATTCAAGTGGACCTTTAAAATCCGAGAACAGGTTTCAATAACTATCACAAAGCCCAAAACTTTGTTTCAAAAGCTTTTAGCTCATTCTAATACCCAGATCTTCCCAGTTYCCCCAGAAAATCGAAGACTCTGGTTGGAGAAGATACCGAAGAGCAAGAATCTGGGTCGCACATTACATCCATACTGATGGAATGAGAATTTTTGAATCATATCACTCATTTGTACCATCTCAAACCAGTAGCCTGTGTACATTCATTCCTCAAGGGGTGAAAAAAGGATGTACACAGGCTACCAAGCAGAGTCTTCAATTTTCCTTTGAAAAAATTATTTGAGAAACTGAGACTAGTCAGGAAGATGAAGAGCTGGGGTGCTAAACTCTACTGAATTGTGTAAGTTCCTTTGTTTTTCTATTTATACATTGTTAATTGCTATTTAGCACTATTTGGCAATAACTTTAAAAGTTTGCACTCAATAATAACCATATAATTTCATGTGCATTATAATAAGTTTATTTGTCATCTCCATAAAAGCCTTTCCATCGCATTACAACATCACAGTATTGCAATAACTTCACCTTAAAAAGCAATAATTAATAATTAATGACCAATCCCTTTCGATCATTCGGTAAATCTGCACTCGGCACACAATAACAGCATCAAGAAATGTACAATGTCATTCAGTTAATATTTATTTATAAACATGTGACACGTCCAGTGATTGATAAAAAAATTTGGCAGTTTGGAGATTCAGCTTGAGGTGGACTCTTTAAGGTATGCAATAAGGTCTGCACGCTCRTTCTTTTTCTTTAGTCCAGCAAACACCATCTTGGTTCCTGGAATACAGAATAGGGTAATCTTAGAAAATCTTTTTAAAAAATGGCTCGCTTAATCACGGAGGAACTAACATTTAATATGAAGTTTGCATGGGAAAATATGATTTGCAACACCTAATAATCTATCAATTATTGGACGAAAAAAGTTTGTCTAGTCAGTCGAGTGACTGACCTGGCATATACCGACATACAACACTGATGTCTTATTCATCAGTGCTGTATAAGATTGGCAAAATAGTCATTTATGTTGTGCCATGGATGCAATGGCTAAAATAACTCGAAAAACATGATAATTGCAAGGCATAATAATAGCCAAATCTAGGAAGGATACAATTGAGCATTTAGAGAGTTTTAGATTAGCGTTTACGGCGAATGCCAAACCTGATCAAGTGATCACTATTTTTCTGTATTAACGCTCCGTTCTTTGGCGATTGTATATAAAATAGATCACTTTTTTGTGCATAAGCGCATCACCATTCCTTTCGAAGCGTTTTACATTTGCTTGACATATTGAGACAAAGCATAAAAGCCAATATGACGTTTGCAGTTGACGTGAATCTAAAACTCTCTTATGTCACATAAGACATATACCTGGGATATATTTCTTGGGGTTCTCGAGGTATATCCACAGTGTATCTTCACCCCATGTGATTCCTTTGTTCTGATTGGCTGAGGTATAAGAGAACCCAGGAGCCTGGCCTGTTTTACGGCCAAATAATCCATGGAGGTTGGGACCAGTCTTATGCTTACCACCCTAAAGAAATTTTTGAATGATATCATTTAAACTTGACCTTTAAAACTGGAGCTTGGAATTTTTTGTTGAGCTTTATTTGGGAGGAAATACATGGACTTTGAAAGGAGCCAAACAGCTTAATAGGAATTTAATAGGAAAATAGGAATTTGAGGGAAGCCATCGATACCTATTCAATTTTCTGAGAGCGGTTACAAAAGCTGAAATAAAATCCCTGATTTGCAGAAATTTCATTTAGGGCAGGTAAYTGGAGAAGGTAATGTAACACTTGAGGCCCCTAATGATTGCTTCACAAACTGTTATTTTTTCAAAACAACCACCTACTTCAATTTTTTTTATATTTGGAAGTAAGTAGGTATGAAACCCCTTGATTTGTGAGCCAGCTAACAACTAATTCTCATGACTTTGGGTGAACATTTCTGAGAAAACTTTCAAATTTTGCTGTTGGAAGCCTCTTTATGTCCTCCATTAGTTACTTTTACTCACCTTCTCTACTGTATGACACTGTGCACACTTTGTCTTGAAGACCTTAGCTCCCTTTGTGGCATCTCCTTGTGGTATTTCAGGCATAACTGCAAGAAAGTGTCATTTCAGGCTTTTAATTTTGCATTGATCTGGGACATGACGTCCTAGTACCATGAGGCACAAGTAAGACAGGTAACAGGCAATTATACAAAGGACAAATAGCAATTTCCATTACATGACTTCTTATATCAAAGACTAAAATACATGCAAAATCTACCAAGTAGATAACTTTATCCACCATTCAAACAACTAGCTCACAGAGTAAGTGCATGGCTTGCATCAAATAGAAACCTCATTTCTTTATCAATTCATCAATAATTTATGAGGCTTTGAACTTGATGAAAGACTTATGCAAGATTTCATCAACTTTTCCTATTCATTCTCCACATATTATCCATGAATTTTTAGATTKATTTACCAATATTATCAACCCCTTTTGAGTAATGACATGTTGTTTTCTCTTCTTTTTGTTTTGGCTTTTGAATCAGTGTCAAAACATCTGTAATCTAACTAAGACTTAGAGAATCAGTCYAAGTTTACAGAGAGAATAAAAAATTGAATTTTTTATTTGGATTTCTGTGTGTGCTTTAATGTTTCTTATATTTTGTTAGTGAAGGAATGAAAATTCATGATAATTAGTTTATGATTGACAGGTCAATACAAGCCAAAATTCAACTGAAAATGGTTGGTTGTGTCAMAAATTCTAATTATTTTTACACTAGAAATCAACATCRAGTTAGATTAGGTATTTTCACAATTTCTTTAGAACATTTGAAAGTCTCTTTGTGAATATATTTGTCTCTTGAAAGAAAGAGAAATAGATTCTGACGTCTCTACAAACAWTGACTCTGTTATGCAATAGTAATACACTTGTTCGATTTGAARCTGGTATTCCTGGAATTCAAGGTACSTTAGTGTSTAAACCACATTTACTGGACAAAACCTTCGCTTATATGAGATTTTTAAACAACTCTGAAGAATGGAGAGGAAATGTATGCGAGAAAAGAAAAGCTCATAGTATAAAGGTTAATGTTGCCACTTGATGTTGTGACGCGGTAGAATAGCATCACGAATCTGAAAACCAGCGATCTGGCATAATAGAAAAACAAATATTGTTTTTTTGAGATGAAACAGCAATCCTATGCTCTCCTGTCAACAAATCTAACAATCATTTTACTAAAACTAAAAATTTTACAAGTACGATCAWATATCAAGGAATGGGGGGAGTATCTTTGAATACTTCTTCAAAACCCAAGAAAACAGCACTGATCCTAACTGAATAAGGTCTTTTCGAGGAACACACATTGCAAAAAGTACAGAAAAGCGGAATTAAGACTAATCAAATCTAATATTTCTGTCTGTAATGGCGTCTACGATTTTACCGGCCGGCGACAACACACGTGTGACCTGGAAGCAAAACTGTCCCCAAAATAATCATTCATGTACGACTGATCGCATAAAAAAAGGCACATACGTTAGATTATAAAGTTAACAACTTACTTGGATTATTTTAAGGGTATTTGGGGTTGTTTCGAGTGATTTCTTGGTAGTTGTAGGAGRACACACTTCCCTCTTCTGTCGTCGATCGATTTGAAAGACCGACCTTGGTTTCGTCATCACACATAATTCAACTGCGCATGTTTTCATAGAGCAACCGCTGGCTCTCGAAGCATAGTTTTCCGGTGACGTCAGAAAACACGTGAAAAAAGTCAAGTCTTTTTTAATAAATGATATTATTTTTGATTTTACGAACTTCTTTCTTCAACATTTAGTGTAAAGTTTTCCTTTTTTTCGTAATTTCATAATATTTGCGTGTACGAAATTATGGTTCTGGCACAGGAAGCCCACCATGATAAGAGCCTGCATTGTTAATAGCCAGCGGATGGAWAAATCCACAGGGAGCCCAAGTTTGACAAAGTTGTGCTGTTAGAATTGGAGAAATGGCTTGTTTCATTGGCTTGTTTCTGACTACTCATATCATATAAAGGGCTCATAAAGTAAGTGCTTGATTAGAAATAAGTTAGTAAGTGTACTTTTGTATGGATACTTAGAATGATAAAAAAGTTTTAACCAGTTAAACCAACTGGAAGTGACAGAAGTAAATTTCAAAGCGTTCGTTTATTCTTTGAATTTGTTGATAGCGTTCATAATAATTCAGTAACCTTGATTATAGGCTGTTTTAGGCTTTGGATCTGTTAATATTTTCTATTTCAATCCAAAAGTAACAGTCAAATTTTAGTCAAGCATATTTAAGTTAATTAAGAAAATTCCAAACTTGTATAAACTGTAAACTTCGTGATGAACCCTAATTTACAGCAAGCTAGCTGTCAATGAGGAACCGTATAAATGTAAATTTATTCAGGTAATTATGAAAGTGGATTGACGTGGTTCTTTTTCTTAAATATATCGATCGCAAAATAATGACAAAACTTTTCGCCCGCCATCTTGATTTAGATCCCACAACCCCCTGCGCGCATACGACGTTCGATTTGACGCGCGCGCTGTGAAGTCACAAATGAACGAATGACGTCTTTCTGAATGAAAAGTCATTCTTGAAAAGATTTTGAACTTGAAAGACGTGTATTAATCGCTCGTGAATTCAGCAAAATTTGTGACAATGTGTCTCGCTTTTTTGTCGCTTTTCCGAACCAAAAACAAGGTCGCGCCAGCGCCTCTTCCAGCCTGTCCATACAGCCAGAAGCTTTTGAACCACGCAAGGCTGGAAATTGAGAAAGAAAACGCCCTTACGAGGAGAAGCGTTTCAACGCAGACAACAAAGAGCATCCTGCAAGCAATCAAGCGGAGCCAGATGCCAAAATGGCTGAGTTATGACTTAGACATCAATGGGAATATCATTGAAATGGGATTAAAAAGACAGTGCCCCCGCAAACTTGCAAGAGATCCAAAACTTCCTGTTCTTACAAAGGAGATGCTTCTACAGAAACAAGCCGAGGCAGATATGAACCAAGRACCTGCTGTAAAACGAATGTGGACAAGTSTTCACTCGAAACAAGAGAAAGGAGAAGAGGAAAGTGAAAGTGAACGAAAAAAGATGGCTGCTAAGTTAGCAGAAAAACAGTCSAGAGCCTCGGAAAACAGAAAGCTACAGATTGAAAAGAGAATAGAAAAAGCAAGRAGATCCAACGAGGCTAAGCTATTAAACCCTACTGAAGAGGATGCGCAAAAGTCAATMAAAKCCGCAAAGATYATGGAAAAACAATCAAGGGCGGCAGAAAAACGTCAAAGACAGCTAGAGCTYATCAAATCAAAAGCCCACACATCAAGTCGCACAWTTATAGTAGAAACAAACTKTCTTGTCAAAGCACAGTATACAGAACACGAACTACAGCGAAGGAATGACTGCGCAAAAGCTAACAGAGAYAGGACTATGARAAGAATTGTACAGAAGCAGCAACTCCGAGAGTATTATGCCCAGAAAGTTAGAGCAAGAGTTGCCAGGCAACAGGAGGAGGATTTAGCAGCCAACAGCTTCTCCGGAGAGATCGAAGTTGACCCAGAATACTTTGCTTCAGCAAGTGAACTCGATGACGAACAAATGTGGTAAAATGGTCAAGGCATTGTAGAAGGCTACGTCGTCTAGTTTCAAGCGTTASGCTTCTTGACATTTTATATTATTGAACTCAAGACTTAATTTGGACATTTTTCAGTATAAGATATCACATTTTATTTATGTAATGTGCAATTTTTAATAAGTATTCTTTAAATAACAATGACTGTAGCAATTGTAAAAGAAGTTGAATTTTATGTGTTTTTACTGAGATAATAACTGACGAAAAAAAAATTATTACTCCTTTTTATAAGATACGTTTTGATATATTTTGATATGGGAGTTGAGATAAGAATATTTTATATTTTTATAATAATAAAGTGATAAAATTTACGTTGCTCTGTGTGAGTGTAAGGCAGCTCTCTTACTGAAAGGGAGTTGGAAACCAACTCAAAAAGCCAGTACAAAAACTTAATTGGCGTGCTGTCCAAAAACAATTATCCCGGGAATTACTAYATGTCCATTTTTTCAAGCGATAATCGAGGACAAATTTGCTGTCGCGAACAGATACATTCCATGCCTTTCTGCATGTGTTGCTGCAAACTGTCATGGAAGCGAGTATTAKTGCCACGTAAATTAAAAGCGWYACATCACTAGCAAAATCAAGCGCGAAAAATCAAAATCGTGCGATTACTCGTTGCCTTAACACTACGTTCGGACGTTTTCACTATGAAATAAATGATCTCTTGAGTTTTTGCGCTTGCWTCTGCGCATGCTCTTGCGTCGCTAGCGAAAACTAGCCTTATCATTGTATTCCGTCTTAAGCATGCGCTGAGTATTGTAATAATATGCGGTTAAAGAAATTATTCAATATATTAAATGATTATTTGTATGCCACAGGAGCTTTCGTAATCCTCGGTCCGAATTCAAARTGAATTACGTTATGTTAGCACCATAATTAGTAAGGGGTCTTTTACGTTTACGCACGAAGCATTGCGTAAAAGAGTACGTGTACGTTGTGTTAATATTGGCATCTTCAGGGAGGCTTTTGGTGCTACTGATGTCTGAATACCTGAGAATTGACTGCGTAGGGTCTTTCAATGGGTACTTCCGTGTAACACATTGCGTATACATGGTATGATCTTTACGGATATTTACGGAAGCTTTTGGTACTACTGTTGACTATATCAGTGCCTACGTTTATGGATGTTTCCGTGTAAAGCACTACGTAAACTATTGCGTTTGTTTCTGACGTTAAATGTTCTCAGACAAATTGCGAATATGTTGTATAAATATTGACATGTTCTGTACGAATATTTGCGGAGGCTTTTGATACCCTGTCTCCAAGAGCAAATTTRCGAATATCATTGCGTAAACCATTGCGTATCATGTTGCGTAAATATTGGCGTGAACTATACGTATATATATGCGGAGGCTTTTAGTGAACTTTGTCTATACACACACACACACACAAAAACATTTTTTATTCTAATCAAATAATGGTTGTTCCGCGATCCCAGAATATATGAATAATTGAAAATAGTTTTTTTTTTCTTTCAAGCAAAATATTTAAGGTTTCTTAGACCTCCACTAGCCATATCGTGACAGCCGAGTAAGAGGACTCCTTAATTCATAATGACACTAGCGTCTACCCCCTTCGAGTTTCACAATAACGCAGTTAGCAATTGTCTAAAATACAATTGATATACATAGAACGGTTGTCTAACTCACGTGTGCTTAGTGTTTTCTACTATTGAAGTTGCAAAACCCRAAGTATATTTGTATAAATCAGCTGCCATGGACATTGTGGAGCACTTTATATTGACTAACGTTTAAGCCAATCAAAATGAGCGCTTCATTGCGTGAAGACTAAGCTGGCAATTAGAAAATAATTATTGCTTTAAAACGACATGTATTTTACATACACAATATGTTCCTGTTTCTTAAGATTAAGCGCTATGTTCTTTGGGTCTCTATTTGTACTGTTACAAATGTATGTTTTTTTGAACAATTTCTGTAATGAAATATGAGAGGTAAATTACATCATGGATTTTTACTAGACGAATTATATTAATGATCATATTAAAACCCGGAAAACCAGACAAATAATTGGGATTAAAATTTGTCTGTATTCCTATATTGTAACGCTTTTTTAAATATATGTTTTTGAAGAAGAAAATTGCTTTCAGCGCGCAAGAGATACTCGTACTGGCAATATATTTTGGAGCGTTTCAATCCTGGAGCGTTTTAGGCCGGTGCATTTCTAGACGTAGCAAAGCCAGAGCTATCAACGTATCACTAGGACTACTTTTAGATCATTTACACAACTAATAATAAAGTTACTCAAAGTGGATAATCTCAATTTTACAATTTGAAGTCGAGATGTTGCTCAATTAGTGTTTTTGTTTCGACTCATTTGGTCTTCGAGTGCGCGAAAAAAGTCTAAGTGTCATTGAGCTTAATTGTTGCTTTTGTGGCAAAATTTCTGGCAATTCTTTCACGGCAAATCTTCAAAAGCAACACCGAGTCTTAATTAAGCTGAAACCAGACAAATACCTGATAAAATTCGTTAGAAAGGCATGGTAAATTTTGTTAAAAATAATAAAATGCGTTAGTAATTTAGCGAACAATATTCTCCTCGCGCAAAGTACACAACTTTGTTGAATCAATTTTATTTGAATAAAGAGCTATTCTATTAATCGGTGGAATGCTTTCCCTAGACGTTCCCAAAGGTTTTTWAAAAATCTTTTAAATGTTTTCGACATAATGGCGAGAAATTTTAATAAGTGTATAATTGTTCACGCGGACCGCTCGAAATTTTCAATAGCACTTTTAGAAAAAGTGTATTTAATGCCTATCTAACTTTGTAAATGCAAAATAATATAGCCAAAATCGAGAAAAGATTGTTTTTGGCTGTTTTGTAGCGACAAGCCGCGACATTGTTTGGTAGAAGCTTAAACATCTGCATCAGCTCGCTAGAGGGCTTTTACAATTTTTTCGCGCATGGACAAAAGCCGGGCGGCAGTACTCAATTCACGAAAACTACAAAATACAACTCATGATTGCCTTGAACGGCCATGCCAATTTGAGAAAATTGATCTGTGATGTAATTTCAAAGTGGAATTCATTTTTGGTGTTGATTAATTTTGTGTAGATTCTCCAAGACACTAACTGTTTTATAATTAGAGCGCTATTACACCTAGTGATGTAGCCCAGCATGTCATTTAGACTTGCAAAACAACAGATGAAAATGAAAACAAAATGCTAGCTCACAATAAAACTCCTAATATAGAAAATATATATCCTTATACATTAATTTTCACAAAACCGTCATTTAATTAATCATGTCTACACTGAACAAGATAAAAACTCCGTTTTTTCTAAATAAAAAAAAATGTGAACTCGATTTAAAAAGAGGATGTTGACTCCGTAATTTGTTATTTTAAAGTTTCGTAGGCAACCAAAGCGTTCAATACTTCCTGGAAAGACATCTTTCGAAATAGTTTGAAACAAGCATTCAGTCATTCTCAGTTATTTCGGGGTTTAGAGTATTTGCCAGTTAAATTTAATTTTCAAACTTCATAAAATGCAATTTTTAATGTTATAAAAAGGGTTTTTTTACGGAGTCACACCAGTTTATAATCATCAGAGCGCAATTTGTGTCGGTTAGAGCAGTTAATGCATTTAGAGCTCATTCCGATTCGTCTTGTAACTTCAACTTTAAAGAATTAAACTTGCATTGTCCAAAAGAAAAAGCTTCCGAAATGTCAATCCAACAGATCTAGTAATTCATATTTATATCACTAAAATTAAGCTCAACACCCCCACGTTTTTCTACAAACGTCCTAAAACTCGAAACTTTAATATTTAAGTTTTTATCTATTCCTAGAAGTTTAATCGACTTTGGATCTTCATTTGCTGTTTATTAAAAGTTCACTATAAAGAATGTCAATAAATGTACAAAAAAGTTCTTCCTTCGTGAGGCAAAGCGTTAAACAAGTTYCATCGTATATTTTTTCAACGAGCATTTTTCAATATCGGTTTATTCTCATTTCCCATGTGTGGGAGAGAAAGATCTTAGTTGTGATAATTATCGCGAAACGGGTCGTGGGAGAACTGTATTTCTATCAAATCCAATCGATCTTCAATTGTTAGAAACCAAGTAATGTTGTTTCATTGTTATAAAAACGTTTATTCTTGCTAGCGACGCGGCTAGTGAAATTTAGTTAAAATTTCGTATATTTTTCACAAATAAATAGGCCTTGTCATTCAGTTTTGTAAACGAATTAGTATTTTGGATGTCTTGTCAGAAAATTGCAGGCTTTCTATTCTCTTTTAGATTACAACAGGTGAAATTCGACTTTTTTGAGCAACATCGTTTTGTCTTTGTAATTACTGAATTCGTGAAGTTTACCATTTCCAAACTTTTTCCCAGACAATTYTTTTAGGTAAGGGTTGTTCCCCTATAAGATATAAAAGTCAAATTCAGACAATTTGAACAGTTTAACTTTATATTTTTATCGTTTCAGTGCATCTTTGAGTTTTGACCCATTTTATGTTTATGACTCAATACATTATTTACATGGTTTGTTTTAAGAACTACTTTTGATCAGAAAGGCTTATAAAGATCAATATTAAAAAGAATTTCCCAAAATTTATCTCATCACAACTGTGCTAGTTTAAATAGAGTAAATTCTAAGACTCTTCTGTCCACTAATTTGAACTTATTGAMTAACAATACCTTAACAATTTAAGTTTATTTGCCGACTAGGGTATGATTTTTAGTCATGTCTTTTGTGCCATAAACCATAACTGATTAATTTKCTAAGTGTTGTTTCAAATCGATCCTAATAGATATAAATCGTCGTTTGAATAGTTTTTCCATTATAAAATGACTTGAACGGTGCTATCTCTGTACAAATGACGAGTTTATAAGGGATCAAAAGTCTTTCACACTCGAGTTAGAAGCAATTATTTACATGAAATTATGTTGTTTGACTTCGGCTTGCTCACGCGCGCTCCATGAAGTCGCAAGTAGCTTAGGCCCTCGGGGCCTTTTAATTGKAGCTTCTATCGTTTCGCTTGTCTACACCAGAATGAATCCTATTAGAATTTTGACAATCTAGCATTTGGTTTTACAATAAAAGTGAGCTTGAACAAGCTCAAAACCATTTGTTGTCAGAAAACATCAGGGATATCATGCTTGTATTAGTCCTAACAAACGTTTTAAACAAAACATTTGTTTTCCAATTTAACGGCATTCATTTATCGTTCGAAGTCTGTGTTTTGTTTTTCTTGGTGCAAAGCGTCTACCATTTACTGCCTTTTGTAAACTAATATTTTGTCTTCAGTGATAGCTTGGAACAAATTCAAACGCAGACATTGACGAGGAATGATTTTTAGCTTTGATACGAAGTGCTTCGAGCGCCATTTTGGGCTGTTCGTTCGTATAGGCTCCCTGGCATGTCCATAGAGGGCTGTTGTGAACTGGCAGTTGAGGACTGCCCATATAATTCTGTGCAGAAGCRGATAATGATGATAGTAAGCCAGGATAGGGACTGTGGGCACTGACAGACGGCATCCCCGAAGGAAGACTAAGAAAATARTTTGGTGTTCCACACGGAAGACCCGGCCGAGGGGCGATAGGAAGTTGGCCTCCATTTTGCTTGTCATGATGGAGTCTGTTTTTCTTCAAGAGCGCTTGATTTGGATTTTGCATTTTCCGCCACTTTGCTCTTCTGTTCTGAAACCAGACCTTTATAAAAAATAAGAAAGTATAAGTACGAATAAAGATGAATTGTGCAGATATCTGCGCGAAAAACCGAAGCTATTCACACAAACAGACAAAAAATCGCTGCAGCATTCAAGATAAACCACACTCCTTTACAACAAGCGGATTGCAATAGAATAGAATACTAGTCAAAGTAACAAGTGGTATTCTCTGTCGCATAGAAATGAATCGTTAGWTTGTTTGAATGATTCCCTTGTTAGTTTGTTAAACACTCGCTGGGGCTCGATTAATGGATCAATTTTCGACCYAAACACGTCGATTATCTTCCTCTTAAASGACAATCAGTTTGCAGTCAGTTAGACTCGTTGGTTTTGATTGACGAAGAAGACTCACGATTTAAAAAGCTTTTTACTTTAGCGGGTAAGTTTCTTTTAGAAAATAAAAGCGAACATCGTTTTCACATTTTGTACTGGTTACATTGGATCAAATTGAAATCAAAAATAGAGAATCGATGATTGTGGAATTCTTTCTAATGCTTTGCCAATTTTCAATTTTAAGAGCTTTTGCTGTAGCTACGATTTCTTTAAAAAAAGATCTTAAATAAACGTTTTGCGGGMATTTAGAGATCAAAGTTCCCTTCCAGCTTCGAAACGTTCTTTCACTTCGTCATGAGCTGCAATTCATCGGTTTATTGGCCTGATCTTCTTTTCTTGGAAGGGCAAAAAACCAACCGAAATCTAATTACTTTTGGATCAAGAAAAATTTACTTCATATTAGATCTACAAATTTCCTTAGTAAAATTATCCTAGCAATTTCGTAATATAATTATTCTCGCTCTATCTGGCGGGTATATCATGCATGGGCCACGCCCTACTCCTGTGTTTCCCCTTGCAAATGAATTTTTCAACGCAGCAATGAACCTTAGCTTATTCTTACATCGAATTCAATTAGACCGATGTGTGAAAAATAAAATTTAAGTTGCAATGAAATTACGGTGCATTCATTGGAGATATCGCGGGCTATGAGCTGTCGACTTTACCTGAATTCTTGCCTCGCTGATGTTGATTTTAGCGGCTAATTCTTCTCTTAGCGCGATGTCTGGATAGTGTTTCTTCTCGAAGACCTTTTCTAGCTCTTGGAGCTGCTGTTTGGTAAATGTGGTCCTGTTTCGTCTCTGCTTTCTGCGGACTGTTGCGGGGTTTTCGGGGTCGCTGATGTTATCTGGAGTGCGCGATGGATCGGGCTGATCAGACGTGTAACTGCGGTAGACCACCGATGGATCTGTACGAGAACAATGGCAGATACTTCAGTTATTTCCTGCTTATGTTTACTTACTTCCTTTTACTCAATAGTCTCGCTTCCTGACCCTTGTTGAATACCGGTATCTCGACACTTTAACTAGTTTAAGTATTTCAACTCGCTTGCATGCTTGATATACCAACTAATAATCTATGTCTAGGCTGTGATATGAACATCAACGCGCGCTCCGTCTTTTCCAGTTGACACTTGCAGTCCAGTGAAACTTTCAACAGAAAAGCACTAATCACACAACTTACGGCCGGAGGAAAGAGCTTCTAATCCTATCACATCGCCTAGGACGTACTGGTTCTGTGCCTTGGAGAGAGCCATAGATTGGGGAATGTTGCCTTGRAGCATGTTCYGAGTTTGGCTGTGTGGTTATGTATGGAGCCCTGTTTATGGTGACATTTCTTATTAGCTGTTCCTCGGTCTCATTACTCACACTACCAGTCTTAATTGCATTGTACTAAGCAGGTGTACTGATCGACATACATTGACTTAAAAAATAAATAGAAAGCCAGAGAACCGGCCTCGTTTGAATATAGACAATGGTAAAGTTCATTACTAATGTCACACCTGTCTAAAATTACTCCTTTAGACCAAAATCGCATCTCATTTCAGTGTTAAGAGAATCTCATGACAGCCAGGGTATTCTCTGATGGTCTTATTTACTAAATAAAGAGCCGTTTGTTATAAACAGGGGGCACGAGAAAACAGGCACGATGTCATAAAAGACTTGAAGAAAAAAAGCGCGCATTCTTTGGCACAGGAAAAATAGAAGTTTTCTTCGATTTGTGAATTTCTAAGTCATCTCATGTTGTGTAGAGAGAAGACGTTGCAAGTTATTTTTGTGCGATTGTATTTTGTTTCGCAAGGCAATTGGATTTAAGCCAATGATATGAATTCTAACCCAATAAAGGCGTCAATAACACTGGAAGGTCTTWTTGTACAGCACCATGAATTATCACAACGGCCTTATTAGATGAAGAAGCCCACCAGAACATATTTCCCACTTTTTCTTTCTTTCATTCTATTCTATTTGTTTGACATTTTATACTTGACTAAATCAATTGCCTCAAAAGGATTTTTTATGATTATTATAATGATCTTTYCGTGCAATGAAAGGCTTCKGAGCGTTTTGGACGAGCTCGTTCTTTTAATTTGCTACAAAAGAGTGAGCTTACATGGGCGTGGAACTATGATCGTTGGTTTCGTAACCTTTGCAATGGGTTGGGTAATTTCCAAGTCAGGTGTCCCCTTAATCCAAAACCAAAGGCAGGAGAAGAAAAGATTGTGAAAGGCTCCCATGGTCCACGGTTCATATCWGAGCCAGATGTCTTTGAGGCACAACGCATTTAAGGCCAAACCATCTTATTTGCTGAACACTGTTGAGTTGATGATCTTTCACAACATCAACTAGATTAGATAGTATTTTAGTAAGTAAAATAAGGTAAAAGAGCTAAAAAGAACTTAGCATTTCGCCTCCGAGGAACATAATTGCTAAGCTCAATTGACCTGGAGACGATGGGGARGGAGAGAGAGATCGTGAAAAAACGAAAATTTGCTGACACTGATCAAGGGATATTGATTAAGACGTGGGTTAATTCATCTAGTATTCAAATATCCATTACGCTAGTTGTCAAAACAAAAATTCAACTTTAAAGTGTCCAATGTAGACCTTACTCCGACCCCTTCACTCGCGCTTTTGTAAAAAAAAAAAACACTTCACTTGTTAGAAAGTCTGGAATAAAAACTACATTTTTAGGCCGTCACAAAAGCAGTCTGTCACAAAACGACCGTGAATGACAGACTCCTAAAAAACAATCAACTCTTGGTAGAAATGAGAGAGTTTTTCGCCTTTGTGCTGGGGAGCTGGAGTAATTTGACGTGCTATTATATTGCTGCCAATAGAACGGCTTTTGAAGGGGTTTGTTATATGCTGGCTGATTGGTTAACAAATAATTTGATAAACTCAAAGCCCCAACAAAACCGTAACACGGTAGCATGAATTGAATACATTGAGTCCATTGTTTCTTGGATGCTTTTTAAATGGCCTAATCAACGTTTGATAAAGACACACAAACCTCTATTTTAGAGCCCCACTGCAAAGTGAGTCTACAWGTTCACTGGGTCAGTGTCTAAAATAAACGAAGAAAATAAAAGACGGAAAACAACTAATATTGAAAGACAAAATAAATCAAACAAGAACGCCAGAAAAACTAACAAAATTGAGCACACTTTATTATAGTGTAAAAAAAAGATTGTCGATTAATCCACACAAGTCTTAATTAGACGTTAAGGGTATTTCAATTCTTTGCATATTTAAGATATGCTTATTTCTAATTTGTGTCGTCTTTTTTTAGTAAACTCTATTAGTCAATTGGGTTTTGGTGTGATTCAATTCAAATATTTACTAGGCTAATGCTATTTTTACTCTATGAAATACTAGACTTTTTCTAACATAATTGAGATGAAATGCTATGTTTTGCTATAAAACAAAAGCAACCAGACAAAGAAGTACGAGGATCGAGTGAGGGGGACAGCAATTACGTATGTTTTAATGTTCCGTTGGCTTTAAAAAACCTAACGTTTGTTTTCTTGTTCAGTGTTGAGCACTTTGACGTTATTTTGATTTTAGGAATTAGTCCATGAACTTTACGAGAATTCCCTGGGCTCGTCATATAGTCTCCTCTGTTAATGAGATCTAGAATACTCATGTCCACGAAACAAAGACTTATCAAAACCTATTGAGAAGACCATAAATTGACACCAATGCATTACTCCCAATTAGAAACTGTGTATTGAGGCGAAATTATCAGCTTGAAGATAGTCATTTAAATCGACTTTAAAACCATTATAGGTCTTTAAAAACTAGCGACTCCTATCCGACAATCGTTTTCGTCTTAAAAAAAATCTTTTTTTAATTCACCGTTTTTAACAAGAAGAAGCATCGAGCATTTTCTTCTCTTATAAATCCAACCACATTTCATTTGCATGGCTAGTGTCGCCGATAATCAAGTTTTATAAGACTTAATTTCTATTAAGGAAATCCCAACTTAAGATTTAAACCCGAGTAATCCGTTCAAAGACGAATGCTTTGTCATATCAAAGTGTTAGTTGCTTGGGCGTGAGGATTTATAAAACAACCGAACGAACTAGTWTTTTTCGGAGCTTATGATGAAGACATACTCTTAAAGATTTAAAAAAGACATCGATTTGATGGCAGTTAGCCGCCACCGGGTGCGCCTAAGGGCAAAAATGCCCATTATTTAAGCGCTAGTACATGCATGTAACCACAAAATTACAGCCATTACTTTAGTGATATTACAGTTTTGATTRGATTCAACCGACAAAAGCGAAAATATAATAATTGCGTTTTGTTTTTAATTCTCAAATTCCTCAGTTCAAAGTTACAGCACTGTTGAATCAAAAAAGCGTCTACATTTTAAAAATCTCTTTAAGTTTAAGGAAATATTCACAAAACGGACCGATAATTGATCACGGTCGAGATAATAATTTGTAAGCAAATTAATGTCTAATGAGATATCATTTACGAATGGRGAGAAAAAACGATTTACGTTTCAAAACTTTGGTGTCAATAATTTGGAAAAGGGTCTATTTTAGGTAAATAACTAGTGGTTGATTTTCAGAGAAAAGATTAATGGCGTACAAGTGATTGTATTGAGGATTTTCCTCTAATACAGACGCTATATCATGCAAAGATCAATTCACTTTTGTAGCTTTGTTTAAATGGTTATTGTTACTGCCAGCGAAAACTGTTTTGAGTTTTTTTCCCAACGCAATTAATAACAGTGAAGGGCGATAAACCTCAATTTACAGCGAGTCTCAAATCCACCTGATGGATATTTTGAATTTAGGCATCATTTAGCTAGCAAAATAAAGATAATTTCATTAAAATCTAATTGAGGATAAAACGACATACCGCAGTAAAAGCTTGCTTTTAGTACAAATATTTACCCAACGTCAGCCATTATACATGTTTTAATCCCTCGACGACATTATTAACTTTGACAAATGGGTTTTCKYATGATGTCGCGAAAATTCACGTTTTTTTTGTAATTTTTCGCGAAGAGTGTACAGTAGCTCAATGTTTTTTTTAGCAGTAATTGTTAAGATGAGGTGCAAATAGTGTTCATTATATTCATATTCGTATTTATCTATTTATTTATTTTTTCTAAGTTTAATGTGAATTAGAGTCAAATACATTTTGTTTATTTTGTCATGAAAGGTTAAACGAAAGAAGACTCGAATTATTTCAGTTTCGAAGAGTAATTCCTTGGAGCAACAATTATAGATGTCGCAGAAATTTGGTGTGTCAAGTATTTTTAAAATTTCAAGCCATAACGACAATCAAAATAAAAAGAAGAAGGAAAACATGTTGTCCAAAAAGCGCATTTCGGAAAAGAAATATCAATTTCACCTGCCTCTGGGTCACAAAATCAAGATTCAAAATCACGCATTTTTTACCGCCTTTTAATAAATAATTTTTTGGGCAGTTTTAGACTAACGTATTACTGCGCCGAAAAAATTCTTGTGAATGAGCATTTTGAATTCATTCTCTTGTTCTTCGATGATTGAAATAGAGTTCAACTCATTATGTCAAACTCAATTGGAAGTTTGATGAATTGTTTGCGCGCGGTCTGGCTCGTGTTGATGTTGAATCAGTTTTGTTCTACCCAAATGTATTATTATATCAATAGAAACAATACGTTTCTAAACATTCTGTTTAATTCAGTTCCTAAATTGTTCGACATGTACAAAATCAAATGAGAATCACGTTCAAAATCCTATTTAAYGACTAAAAGAGCTGAATTTTTTGTTTCATTATTAATAAGAAAAACCGAGTCCGTAAACAAATTCGTGCTKTTAGTTGACCGTTCTTGTTAATATGTGTGACAAAATTAAACAAAAAATATATATGTAAGTAGTTTCTCGTTGAAATTTGGAAACAAATATTTGACGATGATTCCGTTGTTTTGAGTTATTTCCTCAATTTAAACATTCAACAAGCAAAGTACGTAATTTGTGTAAATGATAATGCGTTAAAAACTGACTTAGAAATATTCTGCTTTGATTCAATAAAGCTATGATGCATACAGTACATCAAATTGAATCAAGACTTCGAATTTATCAGTTTATTAGTCTTAATTGTGATTTATCTGTTAGGGCTGAGGATAGAGAAACTGACACGTTTTTAAATTGTTTTGCGTAKACCTTTACGTGTTTTTTAATGTTATAAGCACGCACGTAATGGTTAGTACTAGAAGTGCTGATGTATTTTCAAAAACTGAAATTTCGCATCGAAAACGCATGAATTGCTTTGCGTAAACTTTTCCGTATTTGTGGTCTTATATGTATTGTTTAGGACAAGAATTATTTATGCCTTTTCAAAAGATTTACGCATTGAAAACGCATGATTTGCTTTGCGTAAAACTTTAAGTATTTTTRCTCTTATATGCAAGGGTTAGGGCAAGAATTACTCTTGCCTTTTTAAAAATTTACGTATCGAAAACGCATGAATTGCTTTGCGCAAACCGTTTCGTACATTATGGTCTTCATGTGTACCATCGATTGCACTTTGTACACCTTGCGCAGTAGCAAGTACCTTTTTTTCTTTCAATTTAAAACAAAAAATGAATTTACTTCAGTGTTACAATTGAGTGCAATGACTTACGCGAAGGAAGTAAATTACGCAAGGAAAGTGAATTACATACTAGGCATGAAGAGAATTACGCAAGCTCTTAAGGAAGGCTTCGTTTTCAAAGGGTCGTGGTCTACCAGCATTCAATGCGRTTTAGATTTTTCATATATAGAAAATGCGGTGACTTCAAATATCCATTCGTCGGTTTTAAGGTCACTATCTTACAATATCTCCATTCATAGAGCATAAAGGGATAATAAAGAGTAAGGTTTTTTATTGTTACGATGTATTTTTCTTTGAAATCATAAACAAAAGCTCGACAGGGATGCCAGTGGACCATGGGCTCTTGTTCAGAACGTAGTTGCGAAGGTCACGTATTCTTGCGGAGCTCACACGTACATCTAAGAAACTTTGCGCAGTTCTCTCAAATACAAAAAATCACCATCTTTGATTTTGAAACAATCGGAAAGCACTTCTCAGCAAGACAATTTTAAAACAAAATTAACGATTGCAAAGGTTTTCGGAAGCAAGTGGGCTTTCAAAATAGCCTGCTATAGTCCCCAGTTTTGTCAACTTCACGTGATGTCATAGGAATTGTTATGTCATTGTCCAAAGTGAAAGAGAAAAAGATTCTTCATACTGATTGACAGTAGCAGACATATAATTGTAATGTATTAGTATGATTTTCCATCGACCGTGAAAATAAGTGACTATTTATTTGATGGTTGATAAAAGCAAAATGTTTGAAGTCCACGACGACAAATTCGAGGAGTAATGGAGTACCAGGCGGTATTCTATGAAACCGATAGGTCTGATTGCTTTAATATAAACGTACTAGTCGGTTAGATATTAAGTTAAAATCTTCACCGATTATTGCGAAACGGCATTCATTCTTTTGACGCGCCATTTCTTTTTCACTTCTAATGGACGTCAATCATGAATTAGACCTCTTGTTGAGTAGCCAATCAGAATGCAGGATGAGCCATCAGTATGTTTCCTACTGGTAAACAGAAAATCAGTTCAATTTAGTGACACTGCATCTTATTATCGCATACTACTAGCTCTCTCAGTGAAAACAGAGAGTATAATGCTGATTCTTAAAAAGACCATTACGGTATTCAAAAAGACGCCATTTTTTCTTTCTCAGTTGCAGGATCCTGAGGAAGTAGTCTGCTTCGAAACCAGTCAGTTCCGGCTGTAAGATTATGGGGTAGGGGAGACTGAAAGAAGGCCTGATTCAGCAAGACCAGTGACAGGTAGTCTAGATATAGATATTGCTGTGATATTCCTGTCCAGCCATCAACAATCCTAGCGACAGAGAGGGAGATAGTCGGGTCTACAATTCGATTTCACAAAATAATGACACTCTTAAACTTGATTATACATGTATTCATGTATATAATCTGTTGATATTTATCGTAAAATTGGGTCCTGAAATCATGTTTGGGCATATTTAATGTAGGTTTTTCATGTGCTTCCAATCTCTGAACGCCCGCCTTAAGAAGGGTGATTTCCAAGGAAAAACCACTGCGACATATGTATCTATATATATTTCAAGAGTGTCATTTTTTTCTGAAATCGGTGTAAATCATCTTTTATATTTTTTGTATTTGGACTAAAATGATRTGGTTAGCTTTTCAATTACCCGCTTTATCAAAATTCGGCCTTCAGTTCTAGTCTTATTGTCTTCAATAAAAAAACTGTCAAAGATTATCGTCTAACCTTTGGTGAATTTTAATATTGCTCATGCACCAACACGTACACGATAAAAAGGATCATTGAAATAGTTTAGGCCTTACGTTCATATACGTGAGCAACCTACGTAAGCAACCTACGTAAGTCTATATTTTTCAAAACTACGTCAACGCTTCCTTTTTAAACCGGTGACTTAACACGCTGGTTTAAAAAAAAATGAAGAAAAAAAACATTTTGATAGACGATTTGCATATCGTGGGAGTTTACGTGTTAGTGGGAAGGGTTCACAAATGCAATAACCTACGAAAGTAAGTACTTTGATGCCAAATCAATTTGATTTAAATCGAGATATGACCACAAAAACCCGACAACTTTCCGACTTGCGTACGAACTGGCTTTAAAAGATAATTGGGTTAGTTCGCCATTCGGTCGGATAATAATCGGAAAGACCGTCTACGTACCTTTGTATATAAAACACGATTGGTTCTGATTATAATTGAGTGGACCGATTCATTCTACATCCCCCCCCCCCCCCCCATTAAAAAAGAATGAAAAAAAAAACGAAACTAAGCAACAACATCAAAAATAAACAAAAAGCCTCCAAGGTACTGAATACTGTGATTCTAAATGTATTTACAATGCCGAAATGCATTAATGGCCTTTTTTAAAGTTCCTCGCTTATTTAGCAATGCCTCGTTTTTGTGTTGGAATAAACTATCCACTATCACAGTATCCGGAACCCAACGTTTTCTTAAATAGCTGTATACTAGCTCGAATATTACTTTGCTACAGTTAAATTAATTCACATAAAGTACGGCCTTCGCACTCAGGGTGGTTAAAAAACTGAGTAATTCTATTACTGGAAAGTTTGACAACATTAAAATAATCGCAACAAATTTATCTAATAATTAAATTTCTATCTTTTCTTAGCATATAACAGCAAAGATAACAGATTAGATAGGCGGAGATAATAATGTGGTAATTTAGAAATAAGTAGATTGGAACTAATGACCACTGAACTTAACAAAAGAGTTACAAGTGCTCTCTGAAGATCGCCTGAGTTGCCCACAGGCGATGAACTCGGTTTCAAAACCAAAACACGATCTGAAAGGCTCAATATGTCATGTTTAGTTCTCTTTTTAAGTGAATAGTATTTCAAGTGGTTTGAATTTTTTTTAAACCTGACAGACCTCCCTCCGAAACCTTATGTGATGTTGTTTGGGAATTTAGTACAAAAAAAATGTTGATTTGACGGCGTTTGTTTAAGTCTTAAGAGGTATGAACAGATGTTGTGTGAAGACAATAGGTAGTGACAGAGGCGAAGGAGCTCTATTATAGTTAACTCAACGTATTTATAAAAACGACAATTGATGTCGATAGAGATGAAAGCCTACCAGTTGTGTTTGAATGGCGTTATGTTTTTCACGCGGGGTTCATTAAGAGTAATGAAGACCAATTGTATTTGATTATAATGGTCTTTTATTTAACCATGTTGCATATTAAGGGCTCAGTGTTTCACTATGCAGGGAAAGCCTGTATATTCTTGTTAATGGCGCCCTTTGGTGATAATAATATTGCTTAGCGTGCGGTTTTGAACTGAAATTTCACGACCACGATCGAGAAGTATGGACTACGCGCAACGACAGCGCAAGTCAGATGGCAGCTCAAAGCCACTCCAACATTGCTGTAGGGAAGGGGTTTATGATGAAAGGTATACTAGTACATACTTGGAGAACGAATAGATAAACACTTCAAAATTGGGTCAGGGTTCCATAGGTTATTGGCGGAACTGGTAGGTAGTTATTGATATTATGGTATTTTTTAAAGGTCGGTAAGTGTAAGTCTGAGGAGAACGCAATATTCATAGCAGCGTTAAGTTTCTATTTGGCAGATTTAATTATCTTAAAAATTGTTTCCTTTATTGACATAGTGCTGGTGTCGCATCATTTTTTTTTCAATTCTTGTTCCATGTTTCATACTTGATTTGTGCGGATTCATGTTGRTTTTTATCTACAAAAAGTCTCAAATCTAAAGTTTGTTGGAGTACGAGTTGACAAAGTCATTTGTATATTTAGAGACAATAGCGTATTCCTAAATAACATAGACTTTTTTATATTGAGTTATAAAAAATAGTAGTAACAATCTTTGTTGTGATATAAGCATTCCATAGACCTAGATAGCTGTCTAACGGGATAAAAGCTTACTGCAATCGTCTTTTTGGGACGAAAAGAAAAAATATTCAAAGAAAGAAAGAAATACAGCTTTATTTTTCACCCCACCAGTCAGTCCCTTCAGGGAGAGAGCCCTTGCCTNTGGGACAATCTTTCCTTCATTAGGGGATCCTGCACCAAGGAATAAAAATGTGAACATCTTCAATTTTAGCTATAAAATAATAGTCTACTTACTCTTTTCACCCCACCAGTTAGTTCCTCCAGGGACAGAACTCTTGCTTTCGCCAGTATTCTTTGCTTGTTGTGGGACAATCTTTCCTTCATTAGGGGATCCTGCACCAAGGAATAAAAATGTGAACATCTTCAATTTTAGCTATAAAATAATAGTCTACTTACTCTTTTCACCCCACCAGTTAGTTCCTCCAGGGACAGAACTCTTGCTTTCGCCAGTATTCTTTGCTTGTTGTGGGACAATCTTTCCTTCATTAGGGGATCCTGCACCAAGGAATAAAAATGTGAACATCTTCAATTTTAGCTATAAAATAATAGTCTACTTACTCTTTTCACCCCACCAGTTAGTTCCTCCAGGGACAGAACTCTTGCTTTCGCCAGTATTCTTTGCTTGTTGTGGGACAATCTTTCCTTCATTAGGGGATCCTGCACCAAGGAATAAAAATGTGAACATCTTCAATTTTAGCTATAAAATAATAGTCTACTTACTCTTTTCACCCCACCAGTTAGTTCCTCCAGGGACAGAACTCTTGCTTTCGCCAGTATTCTTTGCTTGTTGTGGGACAATCTTTCCTTCATTAGGGGATCCTGCACCAAGGAATAAAAATGTGAACATCTTCAATTTTAGCTATAAAATAATAGTCTACTTACTCTTTTCACCCCACCAGTTAGTTCCTCCAGGGACAGAACTCTTGCTTTCGCCAGTATTCTTTGCTTGTTGTGGGACAATCTTTCCTTCATTAGGGGATCCTGCACCAAGGAATAAAAATGTGAACATCTTCAATTTTAGCTATAAAATAATAGTCTACTTACTCTTTTCACCCCACCAGTTAGTTCCTCCAGGGACAGAACTCTTGCTTTCGCCAGTATTCTTTGCTTGTTGTGGGACAATCTTTCCTTCATTAGGGGATCCTGCACCAAGGAATAAAAATGTGAACATCTTCAATTTTAGCTATAAAATAATAGTCTACTTACTCTTTTCACCCCACCAGTTAGTTCCTCCAGGGACAGAACTCTTGCTTTCGCCAGTATTCTTTGCTTGTTGTGGGACAATCTCCCCTTCTTCAGGGGACCCTGCAAACAAACAAACAAACAAACAAAATGAAGCCATTCCTTAAGAACAAATCCAATCTTAGAAACCTGCATTTATATCGAGCCTTACTTTTRTCGTTGGGACTGTGTGGTACAAGGCGCTCTTCTTTTGCAAATCTGGAAGTATATAAATTAACATCGAGAAATGATATTTTTTTCAACGTTGTCAATGGTTTTTGACCAGACTAAAAATATGTGATATGACCAGGCAGGTGACCTTCATGTATAGCCAGCCTCCTTCACAAAGGTCAGGCATTCAAATTAGTAAGCTAATCAAGGAAGGAACTTTAGATGTAAAAATATATAATGAAAAAACATCTGAAGAGAACCTTGAAGGCAATCTCCACTATAAATCCTAGATCCACCCCAGAAGTATTTGACATTTATAGGCATACATGTACATATCCTGTCTTTACCTTTCAAAGAAGGAATCTCGAAGATCTTTCCTTTGGACGACTCCTTTGGATTATAAGAATTAAATCATCATGATTGGTTGTTTTACTGCATGGGTAGTGATAGAAACCAAAAAAAGGTAATTTGCCGGCAAAGAATAAAATAGAGATTGAACCACCAAGCAGTGAAGAACGAGGCGACCAGGTCGAAAAGATTTGAGATACTACGAAAGAACTGCAAGAAAATTCTATATCCCTCCCCCTTAGCGGTCACTTTTGTTGAAGAAAGGTGTTGTCTGTGACCACRGCAACCCAAGCTAAGCATTTGACTAGTGATATCTATCACTGTTCAGTGATATAAGTATAGAGGGYATCAAGAAGAACGGCAAATTTCGTCTTAATTCAGAGCTAAAACCGCATCATCAGATAAGACAAACGCTTTTACTTATTTTTTCTTTCAAAATATTTTCATATTTACATGCATTATAGATATCGCTAAATCAGCTCAGTCAAATGCTTAGCTTGGGTTGCCTGTGCTGTGACTTACTTGTCTCTGCAACGAACAGTATAGCAATAGCCAAGAACAGGCAGGATAAAACTGGGTGCTTCATCTTAATGTTGCAGCTTAGATCTATTGATGAATTCTGTAAAACCAACAAGTGTCGGACACATTATTCCCACAACGTCCTCTTGTAATAAAGTGGGGCTATTAGTAGTAATTCAKGCAAGACCTCTCCAATACAGAGAGTTTTAGTAGTGTCAATTCATGGAGTCTTACATGAAGTACTAACCGAAAGGRTAGCTGCATATCACCCGAAAGTAATTTTGGGAAAGGAAACATAGCGAGAACCAAGGCAAAGGGTATATTCAGCGAGGCGACCATCGTAAAAAGCTATAAAAATAGGCAGTTGAGGACTGCATGTGACTCAGGCCATTAAGAGATTTAGTAAACTTCGAATACACTATCTTCAGTATACAACGTTCTCTGAATTATCTGTATACGCTGACAGGAACTGGAAGCATCACGTGACGATCAACCATACGTTGCTTATGAATACACCGAACAGGCGGCGATTCCCAGGGGCCAAGGAATTGTGATGGTTGATCRTTCCTCCCGTGGGGCCTGACGCGGGGCGCCCTGTTTCCCTGCCTACAGTAAACATATCCATCTAAAAGATTCAGAAAAGGGATTTTTATCAACGACATGGAGCGGTCCTTAGAGCTTTAATTTAGCTGTAATCAAAGATATCTTTTTGTATCTGTTGATTATAAACTCATGATTATAATTCTCGAACGTTTTCTTCGATAAAATGTTTATATTATCTAAACTGTATTTTTACATCCATGTTTTAAAAGTACTATTATTCTCCTAATTATAGTTTTTCATGCTCTTCAATTGTCAACATTCACTATATTTATATTCAATAATGTGTAAACTTTTATATCATCAAGAACKAAAATGTGTAACGTTCTAGCTAGGTCTGTAATTGTGTTCCGTTGAATTCCAGCTAATATGATCTTCATGGTTTAGTAAACCACTTACGTTAAGAATTACAAGAGATTTGTGCCGTTGTGTTTATTTGAAATTTGAATAATAATAATAATGTCTGTCTGATATAAGAACTGTAGCGATGATTTGGAAAACAACAACGACAATTGAACAGCTTGGTGGAAGCCGTCATATTACATCGAACATCGGTATTCGGCCGCAAACCAGCACTCAGCGCCCATCCCCACCCCCATCAAATAATAAATCCACTGAAGAATGATTATGCAAAGCCTGCATCGTTTGCTAATTCCCAAGCTGAGCTCTGATTGGCTCGCTGCTCCCTAAGGATTTTGTGACGTCATATATTAGCATAGAACTTCACCGAATAGACTACCTCCATTAAGTATTAGATATCTATAAGTGTCTTCATAGTACGATGGTCTAAGAGGGTAGCTAAAGGTATGCTCTAGTGGGCGGCTACCCCCTCACTCCCTGGCCTTTTGGTTAAGACTAAGTTTTATGTTCACTCGGGATAGCGTGGAAGAGCCGAAATCTCTAACCGTAACGTAAGCCGATTCGACGCCTCAGCTTCATAGAATGTCTCGGGGGAATCGTCCCATCTTTTTAGGTTTTTATTTTCGTTATTTCTTATGTATTCCGGGGGGGGTACATCTCTCATGAAGTGAAAGTTCTGAGTTCGAGTCCTGCCTCTAGAATTTCTCTTTTTTTCCGCTTGTTTCTTGTTTCTTTTTCGTTTGTTTCTTGTTTGCTTTTCTCCTTTCTTGTTTTCTTGATTCTTTTCTTTGCTATTGTTACTTGTTTTTTTTTGTTTTTTCTAGAGATTTTCTCTTTCAACTAAATATATCAAGGACTCGCAAGGAACGCCTGCTACAAGTGGATGGTTACGGTTCGGACAGTGAAGTGACGAGAGGCCCCATAAGGCATTTCGTCACAAAAATCTTGAATTTGTGATATTTTTCTCTCTTACTGTCTGATGATCATGTAAAGGCGAAACTCTGAGTTACAGTAAATTGAGTATTCTCTTGTTTTGTCTTTCATTCATATAAATTGATATGTTTTTCTTAACAAACTTTTAACGCCACTGAATTATGGGAATCTTCGGGGTTGAATGCTCGTCGGAAATAATTGTGATAGCTATTCATGCATCGCAGAATGAGTCAATTTATCTTTAAAGGCCAGTTTATACTTGCGATTTTTGCAGCGCGAATGTCGCGCGACAATCGCCACTTTGTTCTCGCACCCCTCAAATCCTACGTGTAAACAGCCCTGAGTTGCAGCTAAATTTCAAGCATGTTCGTAACTCTCGCGACAATCGCGCTTCAAAAATCGCAAGTGTAAACGGGCCTTAATAAAAGGAAAGAGCTAATATTTTCAAACTTCTCGGTAAAGGGAACCGCAGCTACCCTTTTATGGTTGTACGTGGGGGATATCAATTAATTGTCATGCTTCGATTGTTGATTGCCACTGGCCATAATATAAATTAATATAAGTGTGATTACAACTAACAAATTTAGGAGAGTTATATGAGGCATTTCATGTATAAATTCGTGAAATTTGATTTCATGTGTAGATAAAGTTCTTGGAATTATAGTTCCGAAACGTTTTCCTTTCTGACATAGTTTTACATGCAAAGATCTGTAATAATTGCGCGAGGATGGATCAAGAAAATTGAAGCTTCATTGCCTATGGCATGATTGAAACGATGTAACCTCTAAATTAAAACCTGTCATATGAAATAATTCTCTAGAAAAACATTTTTGGGAAAGAGAGGCCYAGAAAATAACCTGAATTTAAAAATAAATATGCGAAAAAAATCAAATTCAAGATGCCAAAAGATCGGATAGACCAGAATTAATTATAATCTTTCAAAATGTTTGCATTCCGATTAAAATTGTTTGGTTCTTGTCTTATCCTCTTCATCTGTGTGCGGTTTTCAAAAGGTTAAGTAAGCTATCAGTCAAGTCAACTATCGATCAGTCAAGTATCGAAGAATATAAAACGGTCGTTACTGAAGATGCAAACYGCGCGCAAAATAATATGCATTTTTACAACAAACTAAAAATACATTGGAAAATTTCAATTTCTGCGCGTTAGAAAAAAAGGTAAATCAAAAGGTAAACTTTTTGCTGAATTCCTCAGTTGGTTCCAATAATATTCAACATTGACTATTGTCTCACCTAACTCGGGCAATATTGGCAATACATCTCCTTTAGGACAAAATCAGGTCGGTAGCGTAGTTTATATTAGTGAAACTGAGAAATTATCTAGAAAGCATTGAATACGGCATGTTTTTCAAGGTATGGTCGTCGTAAGCARCTTCGAGAAAATTTTGGCGCTTTTTTTTATTTTATAACGATATGGCCTCTAGCATTGTGAAAATTCCTCGTGTAAGAAAATCATTTATGGGATTATTAAATGAATGCGCACAATGTAGACTACAAATTSATTGGTTCTACTTACCCAAAGTACTGAACGTTTTTCAAGGTCTGACTAATGGAAAGTTCTCAATGGTCGTGCGCGTCGAATCGACTTCTAAGCCAGACTGATTTATGGCAAGCCTTTGGGTGTTTCATATGCAAACTAGTGGCGCATTTCTCTACACTCGAGTTGTTGTCTGATTGATTAGCTTGCCCCAATGATGATTCAGAGGTCATTTTCAAGGCAAGCGCTTCATCAACAAACTCAGAGTGACGCCAGACAGCATTGGATTTGAGGCTTTGCAAGCGCGATGTTATTATCCTGACATGACACGTACAATTGTATAGATATCTACTACCAGATACTGCTTTGCCATACATATATCATATTGGATTGCTGTCTGATTGACTAATGATATTCTGAGGTCATTTTCAGGCTTTGTCGACCGCGTCATCGCATTATTCTTTATTTCTTCCTAATTTGTTATCGTATTCTAAAACCGTTCAAGTTCAAAACAAACCTAAGAGACTTGTTTATGATGATTTTCGATAGTTCTCGTAGCATAAACGTTTATAGAATTTGCTAGGTTTGTTCCAAAAGGGACACGCGGTGTGCACAGTGCCGCRGTTTAACTAGAGCAGAACAATATTCAAATCAATTGCAATTGATATGAAATTTGTGACAATATCGCAAATAATTGTTTCATTATTTTCCTGACAGATTTGTGGACACAATTATTTTATCGTTAGACAGTTTCGTTTTTACTTACTTAATTATTAAACGACATTTACAATAGTTAGAAATTTATTTTCGTAACTGAACTGCATGATACATCAAGCGATTTACTTGATCTATTATCACGAGTAAAAKTCACGGCACAACAAAGTGATTAATGAAAATAAATCATTATTGTTCTCAATAACAACGCTTACTACTTAAGTGTAGCAACAAATGTTTCATGCATTCAAACACTTTGCTGACACACTCTTGGGCACTCCTGGATTTGTTAATCTCGATAAAAGAAATAATCAGACAGTTTGGTGGTCTTTCGGTTTGACCTCTAAAAGCACAAACAAAGATCGTTTTTTTCCATTTTCCATTTTAGTTTATTCGCTACAAGAACAAATACCAAATAAAAGCCATTGAAAAGTAAACAYGGAAAATAACTTATCTGATTCTCTTGTAAAAATGGCGGGAAACTCAAACTTTATGGCAGACCGCGCGCGCGTACTAAAAGTAAGTTATATTTTTCATAACCTTGAAACTGAGAACAGGAAAACTAGTCATAGAAAAATAAACAAGAAAAAAACATCTACGTTCAAGGATTTTGGATTCCTCAACTATTCTTAAAAATGGCGGGAAAATGTAACGTTGACATTCACGTTGTGAGCGCGCACTACTATTGTACAAGTAAAGTGTACAATGGAGCGTACTGTGCACTACTGGCGTATTTTCAAACTACTTTTTTTTACAAAATAACACAACTACATCACTATTAAACTGCATCAAACAATAGAATATGCAAGGTAATATTTATTTACAAAATAGRTCCATAAAAAGATACATGTAGTTCAAAGACCAAACTAATTTAGTTTTTAAACTTTTACATAGCAGGTAACTTAATACAGAGTGCTTGAACACAAAGACGTTTTACAAAGCACAGCATTAAAAAAACTTGTGTAGTTTTATTTTACATTCTTGTTGTCTTGAATAATTATTTTTATGGTGAAATTAAAGAATTTTTCTATTGTTGAAATATTTCCTACTTTGGTAAAATKGCTTAGACTATTATTAAGTCCATCACGAAGTAAGAGAAAGACAAGAYTAAAAACAAAACAAAATAAAAAAAGAAAAGGTAGAGAGCATAAAAACAAAGGACAAAGAACAATGGAAATAATGTTTCCAAGCAACAGAAAACAGAATGTTTGACCAATACACCTTAATCCATAAGATTTTTTAATGTTTTGATTTAAAATACACTTTAAACTGCATTCATTCTAAGTCAGGCAAGTAAATGCACATGCAAAGGTTTCTCCAAAAAATGTATTCCCAGTCCTACGCTATGCTTATATTGAAAAAAAAGGKTTTTTTTGGAGTGGTGTTTATAGACGCGTGAAAGACATGTGCTATGTTATAAGTAGCGAAACAAAATGTAAACAAAACAAAAGAACTCAAGTGTAATTATAAGGACATGTAATATGATAAACTGTGTTTTACTATTCCATAACAAAACCTTAACAATAAAAATAAACAAGCAAAGGAGTCAGAGCAGATTTTGATATGGTTCGGATCATGACGCTGATAGCACATGGAATGATCAARAGGCTCACAAACAAATCAATCTTGTTACAGCAAGAAAGATAGACTGMAAGCATAATATTTCAAAGAATACAATTATCAGAAAAAGTATTTTTCAGGTAATGCTACAAAAACACTTTTGCACTTTGAACGGTTTGGTAATTCAATGTCCCCCACCTTTGTTCCTCTAAGAATAAAGTGCATAAGATAGACATTTACCATATGCAGTGTTTGCAAATAAACATATTTCAAAATGGACTTAGTATTAGTCTAAACCATTCATGTTGAGAGTTTTGTATCAAAAATTACTTTTCTATTTGTTTTATGTATTCATAATAGTTGTTTATAGAAATAAACTTTTCAAAAGTAATCATTCAAACAGTTTTTCTGTCAGCAAGTACTCGAACAATGCATCCAAGACCACCAATGGCTGTTGCCTAGAAAAAAAAAACACATTAAAAAAACAACAACAACAGATAAACGAATGTACACATTTACATATAAATAAATTAAGAAATATGTGAAACTAGTTACTGATGTTTCCGACAGTAGTTCTTCATCTTTACTCTGAAACATCAGTAAGTTGTAAAAAATTTATCTTTTCACTGTTTCTTAAGAAAACTGAAGCAACTCACACTAGTTTACTGCTAGTTTCCACTGTTACAAAAATACAATAATTATACTTTATGATTTGTTTTTTTATTTGTATTGTAACTGACTCCCTTGGACCATTATGAGTCTCAACAACAGGAATTCATTTTCAATAATTTTCTAACAGCAAGGACAAAGTTTCTGCAATAATGAGTTGCCCATAAGGTGAAAGGTTTAACTTTTTTTTTAACTGTTGTCATTGTGGCAGCAATGTAGATGGTCACTGGTCAACCGTTATGAGCAATGCTATCAAAATAACACCTTATTGTATTGTACTGTATACAGCCTTTTGCACAAATTATGAGACATTTTTATATATATAAATATACCTAACCAAATATCAAAAACACCCCAGAAATTATGGTAAATCTCTATTATATTTTGTCATGCTTGCCTAGCATCAGGTTGTTACAGACAAAATATCAGTGACGGTATCCCATAATTTCTTGGGTGTTTTTGATATTTGGTTAGGTATATTTATATATATAAAAATGTCTCATAATTTTTGCAAAAGGCTGTATATACATGTATATCACTATAAGACTGTAATTACCAAAAGAGATATATTCTATTACTAAATTCTAATTTCATTTTTAACAAGGATAATTTTTTAATGATCTGAAGTCATGATTGGCATATTGACATAGTAAAAAGTTCAAAGATGAACATGAATTATTCAWAGTGTAGAGTCCTTACCTTTTCATGCCAAGAAAGTAATATAGCACAGTTATTATCGGATGGTTCAGAAAAGCCACGGTAAATATACTTCATAAGGATATCTACTCCTCTGTTATCAAGCCCCTTTATTGCTTGYTCTATTTCATTAGCTTTTGTGGCATTCAGAACTCTCATTACTAGCTGAAAAGCTTTATCCTGAAACAAAAAGGTACAATGTTAATATAGTTTTAATATAGACTGAATCGAAAAATGGGAAATCAACTTAACTAAGATGGATATTTTGAGCAAAATACAGTAAAAAAAAAACAACAAAAAACAAAAAAAACTGTCAAATTTTCCAGGTCCATGGGGTCAGAGTTACTAACCCTTGAGATGCCTACCTTAACAAAATACCACATTCATATTCCAAGTTGATATTAAACATAGAATAGAATGAGACAGTAAGAGCAATATAATTTGACAAGACGCAATGATAATTCARTCTATACATGCATATCATATGGCGCATAGGCCAGTGTTTGTTTGAGAATAACTCTGTTTAATTAAATCATCTATGGAGTATATTGAATTATCATTGCGCCTTGTACACCCTAGCATGATGATGATTTGTAATAAAACCAAAATATTGCTCCTACTATCTAATTCTATTCTATTTTGAATATCAACCTAGGAATATAAATATATTCAGTATTACATCCATTTTGTTTTACCTAAAACTATCAGCATGTCCTGAACCTACCTTTGCCGCCTTGTTTTTAGTCTGCAATGGTGGGTCAGCTAGTACTATTTTCAGTGCGTCACAGTTCTTCTTCCTGTATATCACTTGTCAAGAAAATATTGTATAATTTCCAAAAAATATTTACATTACACGTATGAATTATTACCTCATTAAAATACAGAGAAAATCAGGCCAGTCTGAAGAAATTTTGGGAATTGCATGTTAGAATTCAGCTCTAAAACTGCCAAAATTTGAAATATAGTTGTTATTTTGCAACAATTTGTGCAACATGTAACTTATGGAATTTCAATATCGCGGCTTAAAATCTCAACAAACATCCACATTTCTTTCCACGAAGCAAGCATAGCTTTCAACTACTAAAGGCCCAATATAACTGCAATAATCAAAATAAAAATACTGCGCTAAAAAGTACGCAAAATCTGCTAAAGGATACGAAGCCAGCAAAGAATTCACCTCCCCTTCGTCAGGTCCACTCGATCCAACATCTTCGCCCTGCTCGTCTTCAAACTGGTTTTCAAGAGCATCTACATCAACTACACGAAACTTGGTCGAAGCACTAGCTTTTGACATGTCGAATTTGTAGTTAGGAGTCTTSTAAAGGGTTATAAAAGATGAATTCTTGCGGAAGTTTTGCCTGGAAAACTAAAAGTTCAYGAGCTGAAGAAATGAAGCACTCCTCTTCCGTTTTCCGGCATGCTTTGCGCGCCCCTAGTACCCAGTCCCCTTTGTTCCTATTGTGGGGTTCCTGTGGAAAAATCTTGCATTCCTTGCTCGACCTTTTGACAGTAGTTTTAATCTTTCAAAATTCTATAAAACGAATTCTCGAAAACTTTATCATTTTTCACTAATTCCTAAGGAAAAGTAGAGTCTTAACTTAAAATCTGTCCATTTTTTTTACAACTTATATAAAATGCCGATGCCGAATACCCGTTTGAAGTGAACTTTCGTTTCGTCGATTAATAGTTGTCAATCATCGCTGCAACGCCTAGCATGATAACAATAACCTTCAAATCCACAGCGGTAGTAAAACACAACTCATTAGCATCCAACCTCCACAGAGAACATAACAAAATACACCTCTGAAAACAATATGGCTTCAAGAYTGGTGGCTATTTTAACTTTTCTGCTTCTGTATTCATGTTTATATTTTTCCAATGCAGGTAAGAACTATTTTTGATCCACAATTTCATGATTTTGTGTTGTTTTTTTTTTTGTCCCGGGTCGTTGGGCCAAATTTATGGCGCGCGCGCTCAATCCGCGCTTTAAGAGTGCTTTTCATTTGTTAGCCTGAACTGACTGGGCAGATTCAAAGACAGTTTTTAATCATTTCTAGTCAGTCAGATTAATTTCTCAATTTCATCCGTTAGTATAATGGAAAAAATTATGAAATTATTGAAAAATATCGACAACAGTCATTACTTACTAGAGATGTACCGGTCTGGCCGGCGGAAAGGGACTGAATCCGCCCAAAGAGGAATTACTCATCTCTTGTTTACAATATACTATGTAACATGGTGTAAACTTGATGTGTTTGAAGTTTTGGAAATACTTATTCTGCAGTGTCAAACACAAAATTACAGAAATACTAGATTAGATTTACAAATGCATGCTATTAAGACTTTATGGTGTTTTTTTTTTTTAAATAATTACAATCAGGACCAATTAAAATTCACTTAGTTTAAAATTATAATCAGAAAATATATATAAAAAATGAGAATTGTATAGTAAAATATTAAACGAAAGCTAGTTTGAATCTGCGCACTGAGAGCGCGTCAGAGGTCTGTACGTACATTACTGAATCCCCCCAAGCTTTGTCGTTAGAATAAGCGGCAAARTTCCACAAAAAAGGCCTTCAGCGCCTAGCTTGTATATGTTTGTCGGTTGCAGTTTCGTTTTTCGCGCCAGAATGAAGCCAGGCTGAAACCTGAGAAAATTTGTAACTTAAATCCACTGAACATGATGACCCATCAAGTGTTCTTATCCTGGATATGTCATTTCTAATCCCGTTGAAAATGAAATGGTATTTATCTAATGCAAGAACAGATGTATATCTTGAGAGAAAAATAGTAGACATAATAATAGAGCATAAGTAGACAGGTAAATTGCAAGAAATCGTCACCTTACCCTTTGAAGAGGAAGACAATGAATGATTCAATACGATGGAAACAGTGCACACGGGCGAAAAGACCACTTTTGGTTATGCGTGACGCATGATTTGTGTCAAAATACTATAAGTGATTCTCAAAATCGGTCTTTTTCTTATTGCTAATATTTAGAACGCTAGTTTATAATGTGTCCCTTGGGCACGTCTCCCTGCTCTTCTTCAATTCTGATAAGAGCTCTACTTTTTGTGTTTAGAGTATAGTTCACGAGCGAAATTTCAAACAGTTACTGTTGGCTGTCTTTTGAAAAAAATAAAAATAAATAAATAATTAAAAATATATTTATAATTTCTAACGTTTGCTAATGGTAGACGTCAGTCCTCCCTAAAAAAAAAACAAACAAAAACAACACTAAGCTCCCTTTACAAAAAAAAAACACTTCATGCACCGCCCATGTTTTAGTTATCACGCAGTTGTTTTTATTTCAGATAACTATGACGAGTTACCCGCCGAGTCAGAATCCACGCTGAACGATCTTGATACTGATGATATATTTGAAGGTAATACCATTAATCCGACTTATTTATAGAAACCGCACAGGATCTACAAAAAGAAACTGGGGAGGGGAAGGGTGGGKACAGTACAGGAAAAAGAACTATTCYCMRGCTATGACTYGGAGATTTTGTTTAGTTATGGAACTAAATGCGTTGAACAAAGACTGTATAAGGAAGAGAAAAGAGGATACGTGGTATTATAGAGATATTCTGTCAAAGATATTCGTTCAATTGACATCGTTCACCGGTTATTTTGTAGAAGGAYTGACAGATGTCAATCTCCAATCCGACGAACATCCTCCGTTAGAAAGAAAAGATTACATGGATGATGCAATGAATGCAGATATGGAAGGTATAAAACACTGAAGACTTTATACTCAGAATTCTCGCCGCCTCTATGATCTCAGACCAGGATAGGCAGGCTACAGTGCCATCTCCTAATAATTCAAGATCCAATGACCCCCTTCATAATTTTTGCATCTGTACTAATTTAGTATTCTTTCATAATTAAAAAAATCTGTACTAAATCGAAATCCGTCTTATGCTGCATTTTGATCAGTAAAGAAATAACGAAATATAAACGTACTTTTTTGTTTCTAGAATTAGAGGATGAAACGCCTCTCGATAGATTAGTGGATAAAGTTGATCATATGAAACAACAGAAAATATGTAAGTGTGAATATAAAATGAAGATTACTTATGATCAGTTTGAAATATGGATAGGAGAATTATTTTTGTTTATGTCATTATTTTTTAGTGTCAGACCTTAATCAGGAGGATTGGCAAACTGCTCCAGAAAACGAGGCTCTCACCGATGGTCAGTATTGTGTCATTTATCTTAAGGGTATCCATGGGAAAATTATAAGTATTGAGCAAAAAATCCTTATTATTCATTGATTATATTGTCAGAAATGGTGGGTGGTGAATCCTTAGATGAAAAAGACTATCGATTTTCTAACGAGATGGAAAGCTTTGACGAAGATTTAGAAGGTATCCCATCCATCTATTCATCCATTCAACCAATTTGTCCCTCTTCTTCTGCGTCCCTTTCATGTTTCTGTCTGCATAAATCTATCGTGTCGGTATTGCAATGTTGTTTCTCAAAATGCCAAAATATATTGGTTGCTTCGATTCAATGATAGCGGAGRCTTTGCAAGCACTGAAAAGCATTCGGCTCGATCTTGTCTAATACTATTTTTCTTCTATTAGAAAACTTCGTGCCCGTGGGCTGCTTCAATGATAACGAAGATTCTAGAACACTTCCCGAGCTTATAGCAAACTTCCGAGGCCAAATTGATTGGAATAACCTGAACAAAACCATCTACGACTGCGCAGAAGCTGCCTTTTCTAAGGGTTATCGTTACTTTGGAGTCCAGTTCTACGGAGAGTGCTGGAGCGGCCCTGGTGCTGAGARAACGTACGACAGAGAAGGGACTTCTCAAGACTGCGAGKCTGGCGTTGGGAAACACTGGACAAATTATGTGTACCGCTTTGTTGACGGTAACGCAATTAGCTTCATTTCTATCTTTGTTATTGCAATTTTTAGCCCGACGCAAGMAAAGATATTGGATTTGGCTTATATTGCGCAGTCTAGTAAAGTCGACGCATTCYCGCTAGTTAATACTCTAGATGTACCCCRAGGTTATTTTTATTTTCAAATCRTAACATCCCTACKATTGTTGCGACGATGGAAAATCGACACGAAGTTGTAGCCAATTTTCAAGCGTGTTCTAAACAGGCGATGGTCGGGCGACGATCGCCGCGAGAATCGCTCTGCAAAAATCGCAAGTGTAAACGGGCCTTTAATTCCACAGGTTCAATCTTTCATTTGTCAAMTGTGTTCCATTTCAGCTGAAAACCAAATGTGCAAAAACTACAAAACACTTGACGATGAAACTCGGTCAGCAAGCTATGTCTCTAAAAAGGCTGTATGCGACTCCTCACTAACTCCAGGATGGTACAGGTTCAYGGGGAGCGCGGGCTCTCACATGGCAATGGAATGCGTCCCTTTGCTACATTGTGGTACCCATGCCCCTGGTTGGATGATAGGAAATCTGCCAACTCAAGCCGAGGGAGAGGTGGAAAGAAAAGTCTGTTTYACTTGGAACGACGACTGTTGTCGTTGGCAATCAAATACATCTGTTAGGAACTGTGGTGAATTTTACGTTTATAAGCTCCAGAATCCGCCAGCTTGTCGCCTGAGGTATTGTGGGAATGGAATAGGTAGGTCGAGAACGATTTTTTCCGTAAACAACACTTTTGAATTAAATTAACTCTGAAACRTTATTTCTAGTACTAAATAGCATTGATTAGACACTATGGAAAATAAAGCAATTATCAACATTTATTGTTATTTTGTTAAATATCAAATTGACACGCATTTTGTTTGCACTCTATGAAGTAAACGGTGCTTGGGACTCACTTCTCTTTGGAATCTCCTAATCTTATCTAGATTCTTTTATAAACTTATTCTTTATCGTAGGGACGCCAAAAAAGATCCTTTCTGATGTAGTATTTACGGATGACAAACCAGAACGTAAGTTAGTTTCTACGTCTGCTTTTCCTGCATGTCAAGTTTATCGTTGTGCGGTAAACGTTTTAGGAAAATATCAGTGCGCGCAAAAACAAAGAGTGATTGCACCTCTTTTTTAAACTTTTACCAGAATTGTAAGGCTGGGCTATACTCCCAGTCCCATTCAATAAATTTATGTATGTTGTAGTGAGGGAATATGAATCTCTTGGTTGCTTCCTGGACAAAGGTGGTGMCAGCCGACCATTACCAGTAATGATCGGCAACCTAAGACCATCAATTGACTGGGCGAACTTRAATAAAACAATTCATGCGTGTGCTCGCCTGGCTCAAAGCCTGGGCTTCGAGTACTTTGGTATTCAGTTTTGGGGAGAATGTTGGAGTGGAGCGACTGCTGATCAAACGTTTGACAAAGATGGACCATCAAAGAAGTGCGCCGCTGGAGTGGGTAGTGCTGGCTCAAATTTTGTATATCGCTTTATGAAAGGTAAAAGTGGTTCTTGATCTTGGTGACGTCATGCGTTGCTCGGTGAGAGGCATTATGAGATTTTCAAAAATACAAAAGTTAAGCCATGTTGTTATCAGGGAGTAATCTTCACTTCTTAAGAGTCTGTTCAAGTATACGTAAGCCGCAGCCATTTTTCTTGCTTTCAAAAACATCCTCGATAACGGAACGTAAATTTCGCCAAGGAACGTCGACCTTTGTAGTTTCTATAAGAGATCCGCCATCTTGATACTGTTATCTATACCATGATGCAGTTCGCCAAAACAAACGTGACGTCATTAGTGGAGTGCACCMTTGTAATTTTTAACAGTAGACCCAAAAAGGAAAGAATTTATTGTCATTTAGCACATAAAGTAGTTTCTGATGAGTGGATTTACCTTCTTTTTTGTTAGGAATTACAACAGTAGGTCCAACTACAGTGGCACCAATGACATTGCCCAGTAAGTAACATATTATAACTATTATTWAATTACTATTACTGATTATCAGTTGTTAAATATACAGATGAGTGCACAGCGTATACAGCTCTGGATTCTGCCGACAGATCTCAAAATCAAGGCCCCGTTTTAMGWATCAAATGCGACWKTAACGTCAAAGGATGGTACAGGTTTACAGGTAACGCGGGCTCAAAYATGGCGAACTCTTGTGTTCCTATTCAGCACTGTGGAACCCATGCCCCTGGTTGGTTGAATGGCAAGCTGCCAAGTCTAGCCGAGGGRGCAGTAGAGAGAGAAGTGTGTTTTAATTGGAGAAAAGACTGTTGTTACTGGACGGCGAAAACAATGGTAAGGAACTGTGGAGGGTACTACGTCTACAAGCTGAACAGAACACCGCATTGTAAACTTAGATATTGTGGAGATGGACGTCTTCAAGGTAGGTTCCTTGCTGGGATAATTACCCGTATTTGTGGCAATTTGATAGCACGTGAGTTTACTCTTGTCCCTTGAGACAAAGAGTGCAAATTATACCTATAAAAATAGTTCTAAAAACTAGTAAAAAGTGTTGTTTGGAGGATAGGAGACGCATGAAAAGTAGCATAATTTAGCATTATGTTGTTGGAGTCGTTACACTAGCAGACTACTAGTGCAAGACAACAGTAACAAGTTTTCTGTTTTGCAGTAACGACCACTGCTCCTCAAACGACAACTGTTTCCACGACAACCACTCCTACTCCGCAACCGACGACAACTCCAGGTAACGAAACATACACAAGCAGTGATGAACATTGATCAAAATATATAGCTGAAAGAAACAAATTTTCTTTATATCTGGGTGATTTGAGAAAATGCGACTAGCCAATCAGCGCAAAGCTGACAAGCTTATGTTGTAAACATAGCCCCCCG